CGCGTCTCAAAAAATGTACAAAAAACTAAATGCTTGCTGCAGTGCTTCGCTTTAGTGGCTGGAATTCTGTGCAGCTACGGCTGCAGTTTCCCACTTCTTAGTGGAGAGTCTGCGTTTCGTAAATATTTTTGGTAAAATCCAGGTGATCTTGAAACAGTGTGTTGCAGCTGTATGTCGTCAGAAGGATTTGTTGCTAAATGAAACAACCCCAAATGAGGTCGTGTGGACGAGTCTGGTCGGTAATATAGAGTAGCCCACTAGTATCACATGTGTGCTGTTGTTGCGGCTCGAAGGCGCACGACGATGGCGTGAAGGCCGCAAAGTGAGCTAATGACGGCTAATGAGATGTTACGGACGAGTTACACCGCGCACGACCCACGACACGCAACGTGATGGCGGAACGGCTAATTCTAGCCGCAAACCACCGCTCCTTGTGGATCATCTTTTGGTTTATTTTTCTAGTGCATATTTGCGGTATCCTGTTCCCAAAAGCTCATATAACTTACAGTTCTGCAAAAACGGTCAGTTTCGGATTCGAATACAAAAACGAATTCGAATATCTAACTGACCGACACCATTTCTTGGGATTCTGCATTAGCGACTTTTGTGGAGTAGAGAGTATCGACTGTCCGATTCTGCAAGATTGCTGGGTAGATAAATCGTATTGAACCTCGAGATTGCATTATCCCAAATCGCCAAGTGAAGCGAGGCTCATTGGTTGGCTAGTTTGCCATGCTGAGAATGAGATTCTAACTTTTTACTCTTTCCTTTTTTCTCATGCTTCTGGTTTGTGTGATCGTACATTGGATCGGCGAGAGGGAACGTATCGGTTGTGATATCCGAATTGTTGAATATAAGGACGACTTTTCTTCTATCACTTGACTGAAATGACTAGGTAAAGCAGGGTGAAAGGGATCGATACGTTATGAAATTGTCATTCTAAAGACAAGGAGCTCCAGCATTTGGTCTCCGGACATCTGTCAACCGTGAGGCTAGGCAATTCAGCGTTTTGTGCTGTCTGGGAGCTCTCACACAAGCGCACTATTACAGAATCTCCGCTTTCTTTACCTCCTTTAAAAGGCTTAGTCCCACTACCACAAAGAACGTCTGCTTTTCCTTCTACACTCTCACCCCCTGGTTGACAGAAGCCTTGTAACCTCAGCATTCATGAAGGGCTACCGTAATTGAAAATCGGCGTAAACTAAAATGTTATAGGCGAACGCGCTCCAAAGTCGAGCAAACTATTACGCGGGTTGTTTCAATGCGTTCAAAATGGATTAATGTCAGCCAGCACTTGGTATTGCTTGCCAACCTTCCATTTGATGATAGTCTCTGTTCAGCTAGTTATTTTTGCCACTGTTTTTGTTTTAAGTATGTCTCAAGGCCGATGTTATAGTTTGCGTTATCGCTCAATTCGCAAACTATGACATCGGCCTAGAGGGGATAGGGGCGTAAACATTTGAAAAGTACTGACGCTACGAAGCTATGGGGGCCATGACAATCACGTGGTTTCCCCGAGAATTGAGGGAATTCGTGAGCCGGGGGAGTATGTCTATCTAGGGGTAGGGCAGTCACTTGACATACGTGAAAAACTGGAGTGTTTGAGTTACTTCATAGGGTCTCGTTACACCGTAGTAGCAGGCAGCGGCCACACCCGTGTATTTCGCTCCTACCGTATTCAAGAAATCGAGTACCCATCCCACTTGTATTGCACCGATTTTGTTTACCATGTCATCTTTTATACACATACAATTTAGATAAATAACATTAGAAAGTTCAGGTTTTCATTGTGACATGCGACTGCTAAGGAGAACATGTGCATTAGAAAGTTCAGGTTTTCATTGTGACATGCGACTGCTGAGGAGAACATGTGCACTTTGCGGGCGAATTGAGATGAGGGAAAATATGAAAGGAACAAATAAGAACAGAAATTGGAATCTAGTTCTAACGGCTTCACTTTCGATGGCCGGACAAGTCGACAGGTCGAATATTGCGAGGCTGACTGAAACCATCACCTGTGCCGGCAAATATATCTGCTCTCGTCATGCAGTGCAAGCGGTAAGGGTGGACCATCGTTCTTTATTTCTACTGGAGCTGTTTCCATTTTACCCTTCCCATGTCTGGAGTTGGGGTTGTAAATTTATTATTTAACCAGCGCCACTAGTACCTATACGCAGAAGTGGTACGTTGTAGGGAACTCGCTGTCGTGCGGCAAATACAGTTCCATTAGGAACGAGCATAGACGCTATCGCTGTAGATATACCACAGAACCTGGTTGAAACGTTGAATTGGATGAGTAACGTAAGGTTGAATTTTTACGTGGCTTTCACAGGTTGCACAGATATGTGCTATTCAGACTGTTGCCATCACTGCTGAAGATGTGCGGGCTTTCATGAATGCCACGAAGAAGAAGTATTATGGAACTTTGTGTGGCCTGAGCATCAGGAGGAGGAGGTGAGTGAGAGCCATTTGTAGACTCTTACACATCGCATAATGTGAGAAAGTCGAGATTTAGGACGGAGTCGAAGAGCACGAAGTGAAAGGAAGATGCACAGTGTAATATGGAAATGGTGGAGTGCGCCGAAAGAGAAGATGAGGCGTTTTCTAATATGGCAGAGGTCGTGTGTTAGAGACGTTCACTCGTAGACATGCTGGAGAAACGAAATTTCAGGTCTCTGACTATGAACCGGGAAGCAGTGACTTGGAATATGACTGCACAGCGGATGTGGGAGAAAGGGACTCAGCTAGCCTGCACAAATATTTCTTGGTGGAAGGGTCGATGCTGATGTCATTGTTCCGGTTCTGTCCTGAGTGCGGCCACCGATTAAGAAAAGCACAACTGAAGGCAGTGGGAACTGCCGCTGTCGTTTGGTTTGTGTGTACTGTGTGTTCTGCGAGGTCCGCAGTGAAGAAGTGGGAGAGCCAAAAACGTGCAGTGGCTCATCCAGTGGAACGAGTGTATACAGCAAATCTCGTAGGGGCTGTATCTTCTCGTCACTAGGAGATCCCACTGGGCATGGGACTCCTTCTCTTCAACTGGTACCTGCTCTGTATCTGTGCGCCTGATGGTCGCAAGGCTTCAACGAGGAGGTGAGCTAATTCCTAATGCGAATTTCATATTCATAACCAAGACGCGAAATAGTCCCATGTGTAAGTTTACGCCGAATCTAGTGAAAATAGCTGATGGGTCGCAAGGTCAGAAGTTTTCCTTTCCGTTCCTGATGAGGGATGAGTGGACCTGGTGTTCCCCAGCAAAAAATTTTGAGCGCAGAGCTGAAAAGTCGGTCTAATTCTCGCGACCCACACCCCTACCGTCTCGATAAAGTGGTGCCGATGGCCACGGAGTCAAAAATAAATATCATATTTACAATCTAACCTAAGACTCAAACTATACATGGATAGTTTCGAAGAAAAATAAAATTACGAGATATTGGGCAATAAGGCTGGTGAGTCGCGATTCATCGCGCGAGTCGCATAACTCACAGGTGCTCCGATTAATACTGCGAGGTGCTGCTCCATTCCTACTGTCATTTCTGTTCGATTGTGACGGTTGGATGTCAGCTGTTCATCTTTCTACTTGTTTCATGTTCAATGTTTCGAATGTTCATTCAAATGTTCATGATTTGATTCTAATTTTTTTCTTTTCAAGGACAAAACTCCGCATGTTCTTATGCTTACATGAGGTTTCTATTGCCTATCAAAGCCATCAAGTCATGCTTTCAGAAGGTTGGAAAGAAACGATTGACGCTTACAGTTGAAAAATTAGCAAACTCACTCATCGGTTCCAAATCCATGCTGAGTTGTCCTGAAAAAGGAAAAAATATTAGAATAGAATCATAACATTTGGAACACTGAACATGGAACAAGTCGGAGGATCATGAACGCTGTCATTCAATTTACTGTCAAGCAGGATTGGCGGTGGGATCACAGCACTTCGCAGTAGTGATCGGGGCACTTGCGACTTTAGCAGTTCGCGCGAAGCGCGCGATGGATCGCGGACTCTGGCGCCAGCCTTAATTTTTTTAAACTTTTACTATAGAGGAAGGCGTTTGCATGGGTTTGATAGTCTTGGTTCCGCGGCATCCAATGCCTCACAGGGTGTGGTTCACTAGGACAGAAAGCGACTTTTCCGCATTTCGCAGCGCGAAACATTATTCGCTGCGTGGAACCTTGGGTCCACTGGTGATCAGCGGTGGACCTAACCAGGAAGGTCTTTCAGGGCGTGCCAAGCTTTTTGAAAACGGTCTTTTGCATGATATAGGGGCAGATGCGGGGACCACAGAACCATGTTTAATTTTTCCTGAACGGCCCTCTGAATACCAGAAAAGGGGGTCCCTAGTTCGATTCCTCTTGGTGACAAATTTTTGCATTTCGAGTTGACGTTCCAAAATTCGCGCAAAATGGAGTTCTGATTGTTCTGGTTGGTTCTAACTCCATTTTGCGCGAATTTTGGCACGTCAACTCGAAATGCAAAAATTTGTTCACCACGAGGAATCGAACTAGGGACCCCTTTTCTGGTATTCAGAGGGCCGTTCAGGAAAAATTAAATAAATATACTAAATATGAAGCAAGCGAACAATGAGATGTCAT